TCCTGCGGTGGGGGGCATGATGTAGGAGGATCCTGCGGTGGGGGGCATGATGTAGGAGGGTCCTGCGGTGGGGGGCATTGTGAGGACTAAGTCACGGCTGCGTTACTCTTTTGTGTTTTTGTCTGGACACTTCCACAGACTGTGGGGAGAAAACACATTTTGTAATTCTGTTGTGTTTCGATGGACTAGTGAGGAACAGCACTCATTTTTAATTTGCTTTAATTAGATCTAATTTCCTCGTGTCATGCTTTAATGAAATGTTCATGGGGACCTTGTGCTAACCACTTCTGGTGACGCCGTCACTGAGCATCACCTCCTGCATAAGCCTGGCTGCAGTCTCCTCCCCCTGACCTTTGACCTGAACTTTCAGCTCAAAGTGGGATGCTGTGGGCTGCCCTGACATTTCCTGTTTCATTTACCATTTATCCATGTGTGTGTCCCACATCAATGTTCCGGTTCTCCCAATTCAGGTGGAATGAATGTAAACAGACGAGGCCCGGGGTGCCAGGCGTGCGTGATGTTAAGGCCACGCGGATTATGTTTGTATGTTTGTCAGGTGCCACGCATTTGGCCGTTGAGATGCGGACTAGACTGAGCCAGCTAGCGATAGAAGATAGCTGTATTTATCATAGTATTATCTGATTGTTCATTTGTTTCCTTGTATAAATGCCAGAAATTTGGAAATAACCACTGTTCTCAATCATATCTGTAACAAAATAAAGTATTATAATCTTTTTACTTCTGAGAGTCAGGTGGCACTTTTTAGTTCTGTTGTTTTCCTGTTGTATGTTTATCTTCTGGGACTGTCATGACCCGACAGCAAAATGGTCTGAGAGCAGAGGTGACACAGATGATGTTTTCAGTAGAGATGGGAGTTTTTAGACGGTCCGCTGGTCAGCACTATAAGGTCAGGCATTGGCTGTACCTTAGGAGCCCTGCCAGTCCGTCACCCCCTCTGTCGCCTTTGATGCATTAATGGAACACCATTGGCTGCCCAGTGACACAATCTCACCAGGGGTGACGACCTGAACGGACTCCATGGAACAAGCAAACAACACCACTGAAGGAATGCAGGCACGGCCTGCAAAGAAAAATAGATGTTTTGCCGGATTCCCTGGCAAACTGAAACACTCACGTGCCATTACATAGTCACCGATGTGTAAGTCCCCAGATCACTTCCCAGGAGAAGCTGTTGTACCCCTGAGCCAAGAGTTTAACCAGAATTGCCCTGGTACAGATACACAGCTGCATTACTGTTTCACATTTTTAACCACTCCGAATAAAACACTGATAAATGTATTTGTGCTGGTTCCCAGTCCTACTGGACTGCAGATCTTGGATGAGAGAAAGGTCTTCGCCAGAGAGAGCACCTGGCTGTTGTGGTTTTCTGTTGTTTTTCCAGGCAAATCCTTTTGTTTTTGTTATTGGTAGGAAGGATCCTGGGGACATATCATAGGAAGGATGAAAGAGAGCTAAAGGTCTGTGAGAAATGTAGCCTGAAGACAGATCACAGTGGCTACAAACGTCAGTGACGCGGTTCTGCCGGCACATCGATAAGGACCCTGAAGAAGGAACACAAAGCAGGGTGGTCAAACATGCACATCACTGGTGAAAAACAATCACTTATGATGCTGCACTTAGCTGTTACGCACTCAGGAATCACCAGGAATCAGCAGTTCTGGCTAAATGAGCAGATGGGTAAAACCGAGACAGTCAACAGCATCAGCCAAGACAGCAGCATTTCCTGCTGGTAGGGCTGCCACTTCTGTCTGGCGAACAACCTGGGCACTGTCGTACTGATGACTGGCAGACCACTTTACGATGTGTGTAGCATCAAAACAGACTGCCAAGTAATGCCTTCGGATGCTAACGCTAGCAGATACTAATGCTTGCAGATGCTCATGCTTGTAGTACAATTAGCAGCAGCTGTCAGCTGAGGTGTGTCATGGTGCCTTGGGTAAGAAATACCAGGAAAGGGTTTGCAAGAGGGCCTTGTGGGGGAGCCTGCAGGAGCAGCTGCGGGGCTGACACCCAGGCTCGAGTCGGGACTCGCAGGCCTGCTCTGCTGACTCGCAGGCCTGCTCTGCTGACTCGCAGGCCTGCTCTGCTTGACTGTAATGCCATCAGGGTCATTTCTGCCTTTTTGTTTCACAGGCATGTGTGTAGGAGTGTATGCTCCTGCAAATCCAGGAGTATGTCTGAGTGAGTCAGGGTTGCCATCCTGGTTTTCTCAGGATTGTTCTCCTTTTGAGGGACTGTCCTGGAAAATTTATATTCTTTCCTGGGACACAAAGTATCCCCTTTTTTGGAAAAAAAAATGTATTCTAATGTAGAATTTCATGGTTTCAAATAAAACCTCACTTAATTCCCTTCTGTTGCTATTCTGCTATTCTCCTGGTCATGTTTATACATCCAGTGTTGTTTCAGTAAATGGATAAAAATTGGTAAAACACAGTGACGATCGGCCATGTCAATATTTTTATTTGATTGGTACTAGAAATACAAAAGCTTACCTTATTGCCTAGCAACCCCCGGGCTGTCAGTCTGCCACATACATCCACATCCCCCATCCCATAATGACATTTGGTGCTTAGTAGAGGTCATGTTACCTTAAAAAAACACACGTTTTATGTAGTGTGGCAGTTTTTTAATTGAGGAGAGAGGAATGAGGAGGATGACAAAACAATATCGGAAGAGCCACCAGCATCAAATAAAAAAGCCAGCAAGAATTCCAGTTAAATAAGAAGGGAAGACGGCGCTGGGAAGTCATGCAAAAACAAAGAAGTACCAAAGTTTTGTATTAAGCCAATAAGCCAATGCAAACATCTACCCACTTCAACTTTTAGTCAAAACTTCAACTTAGATTAAACTTAAAATTATTATGCCTGGACTTTAAAATATTCATGGAGGAACAACAGGGACTTCTGCAGGCAGCAAAAAGGGATACAAAAAAATCTGTATTTAACCTAGAAAGGGACAACAACAAAGTGTATATCGTGGGTGTGTATGCGTCGGGACAAATATACACTGTTAGACATTTTAAATTAAGAGTTTTACAGCAACTTACCGTAATTTAAATTCACAATACCATAACTGTGACGCCCGGCTCGTCCGATCCTCGTGTGTGCCACGCCCCCCTCGTTACCTCGTGTTACTTCCCGATTGTCATCACCTGTTGCCTGTTGTTTTCTGCCTATCCTGTGTATTTAGTCCGCGTCTGAGTTAGTTTCCCCAGATCCGTCATTAATGTTGGTTACCGTGTTGTCCTGTCCGCCTGGAATAAACCCGTTTATTGGATCGTCTGCTTGCCTTATCTTTCCCCACGTCCTGCCTGCTTGCCGGACAGCAATCGTGACAATAACCATATTTTGCTTTTACAGTATCTAAGTGTTACTGTAATAGTATATGATGGTATTGTTACTGTAAAAAACATAGATTAACTGTGTAATACCGTAATCCAATTATTATTGCTCATATTGTATCAACTGTATACATTAAGTTTTTTAAATGTAATTCATATATTGTTATTTTATCCACACAGGTCCAATAACTGCAAAATATAATTTTTCATTTAAATCATACTTATTTTAATTCATATAATTCAAAATAGCATTTAAAATAACATTTAAACCAACACAACGTGCATTAACTTATATGCACAGCATTCAGTTATTCACAGAACACATTTGTACATTGGATATAAAGTGTATACACCCCTGTTAGAATGCCCAGGTTTTTATGATGTAAAAAATGAGGCCACAATAACTCATTTAAAAACTTCCTGCCTTTAATGTGACCTATAACTTGTACAATTCAAAGGAAAAACAAACAAATCTCTTAGCAGGAAAAATATAAAAACTAAAAACATACAGTAAGCCGGTTGCACAAGTGTTCACACCCGTAAATTAATACTTTGTCGAGGCACCTTTTGATTGATTACAGCATTCAGTCTTTTTGGGTACCAGCATGCCACATCTTCACCTAGCAATATTTGCCCACTATTCCATACA